GTAGTTAGTGAATCGGGAAACCATGTAGCTATTGTTCATAGCAACAAAAGAGTGCTTGATAATTACTGACTTTATGTTGACTTGTATATATATGTGCGCGCGCGCGCGCGCGTGTGTGTGTGTGTGTGTGTGTGTGTGTGTGTGAGTGGGTGATATCGCCAGTTTGATCATATTATGTTTCGAGGACACATCGTCATGCGACAATACGCGGTGCAAAGCAAGCCAAATATTATTCCAGGGGGAAATATGACCCGCTGTCAGTGTGTTACAGAGCGCTAATGCACGGACCCTTCCTTTAAACCGTTTGGGTCGCGGCTCGCGACACGCGAGAAAGAATCATTCATTCAACTCAGGGAGTATTTTTTAATTAGCACCCACCCGCACCCAGGTTTACCTGATTGCTAACTTTGTCGATGCCCACGAGAAACGAGAAGGTGGCGAGAAACAGGCTGAGGCAGAGGTTGAGCAGCAGTATGGTCCGCGGCGACCGCAAACTCCTGTAAACGTAGACGTCACACAGCGGCTATATCATATTATGTGTCTGACATCATGAATGCGAGAGTGAATGATGAGAGATGAAGAGATGAGGGATGAGTGATGAGAGATGAGAGTGAATGTGAGTGATGAATGAGAATGAATGATGCGTGTGCGCGCGAGCTTCGATGAAATCATGCTTACCTCCACAGTAGAAGGTAAACTAGGATCGTAGCCGCGAGCGAGATCGTAGAGCTGATGTGACCTAGGCGAGATATTGTGTCAAGTGCAGCATTCCTATCCTGAAACTAGAGGGACATGCTCGTATATGTATAACAGGACCGGGAATAAACTTGGGACAATGTGCATAGGCGCAGAAGTAGAACTTTGACTAAATTTTAAGTTGATTATGCGCATTATTTGGAAATTAAACGCAGACGTAAACAGATTCCTTGAGCACTTGTTGACTCTACTTGTTCCCCTAAAAATGGAAAAAGATTTCGAGCCTCGGTAAAAAATGTTCACGACCGCGTTCCGAGTTTCTTAGATCCCCATAAAATCAAGTGCACTTACGTCGTACGGCGTCACCCTCATAATGAGTGCGAAGTTAGTCAAGTGGTCGAACCGACAAACAGTTGAATATTTGCTTGACGTCATAGCTTTACCTCCCATCGTCGACCAACCTCCGTCATCTGAGGCATTTCTGTGGTGAAATAATCATGCTATCTATTTGTTAGAAAGCAAGAGTCAGGCGGAAAGCGGGAATAATACATATGATAAAGCGCCTACATCGGAAACAAATTAAATAATGTCCAGTAATATATTCATCGAATATATAGAAGCCTGGTACCAATAGGCCACACGCATGCACACACGCACGTACACACATACGCGCGCGCACCCACGAGTAGAATTTGTACTCACGTGAGATTGAAATCCCAATAGACGCACATCGGCACGTAGGTGCTGTTTGACTTAAACATGGAATAGAAAACAATAAGGTTGCAATCGTTGTAAAAAATATAAAACGTTACGCTCAAATCGTATAATGTAATCTATCATACATAGTCAAGAATACCTTATTCCCAAAACAATATACTTATAACACCGTAGCGTATGCGTACAGAAAGGTACGAAATTATACCATACTGATTTCAATCACTACACTATATAGATGTTATTTAATTATAGCCATTTTATTCAAGCAAAGTCCGTAAGTCTAGTTAATGGGTGTAGTACTTGCTGCGGATTAACATCTCACAGCAGCTGGCACGGCGCCATATGATCCGACCGTATCGGATTGATATGATCCGATCGATATGATCCGACCGTATGTATCGGTATTAGGCGCATGAATTCTGCTCGAATAATCCGAGTGTCGATAAGCTAGTTGTGTACGGTTCAATGCGCAGTAGAGCACTAGTTCACGGAGTCTCTCTAGTCGTTCGTACCGAAGTCTCCAGATGCTCAAAGCTAAGAGACAGTGGCGCCGCCAGACGTCGCTCATCGAGGCCGGAATTGATCGTGACGTCAGCGACGATTGAGTTTATGATAAGCTTCGGCGAACTCGACTCGTCCTGGCTAAAATAATGAGGTTACCTTTACCAATCACGTATCGTTAATATTACGAAACAAGCGTTTTTTCGATAATCCTATAAAGATATGCCGTTAATAGGAGCTTCCTAAACTGTTTTCTTGCCAAACATACCAAACATCGAGCAACTAGATTAATTATCTAGTTGATGTATCTTTAAAATACGCAGCCGTGTGTGCACTCACACATTCGATATCCTGTACGTATGAGCGAATGTAGTTGAAGGGAAATTCGACGATAACTTCTCGCTACATATATAAGTTATAGTTGTACGTTATAATCTCAGTATTTGCGAATTACAGCGCATTGCTGACACGTTAAGACTCACCTGACCCCTAGGATGGCCTGGAGGTGCTGATAGAACACGCTGGAAATGCTAACGTTTCCGAAGGCCACTGTAAATCAATGTCTAGCATCAAGCATCAAGCATAATGAGTATTATATTATAGATAAATAAATAGCTATGACTATATTATATTATAAATATATAGTAGAAAGTTTTGCAGATGCTTTTGTATGTTACGATATTACGATTGAGATTTATTCCTGCGTAGAGGCCTATCAAGGTATAAAATCTTGGGCTAGGACTTACCTACCTGGAGATATTTGTACCCCCCCCCACACACACACCATACCACACCACACAGACGTCCACACGCATGCGCGCGCGCGCGCGCACACACACACACACACACACCACACCACACACCACACACGCCACAGCACAGACAGACAGACACATCACACATCACACAACTCACGACACACACCACACACACACACACACACACACACACACACACACACACACACACACACACACACACACACACACACACACACACACGCTGTCATGAGCGTTTAGTAGCGTATTATTACTGCTGCGTAAAATAACATTGACCACGATTTAGACGTATGAAGATAAATACAAAGAGGCGTAAACACGCACGCCCGCTCACCCACGCACCCACGCACAAACACACACACGCGCGCGCGCTTGCCTGCACACGCGAGAAAACAGCGAAACGAACAACATGTTAGAAATATGCATAAATAACAAGTGTAATAGACATTTTCAGACATACTGTGAGGTCGTATCGCGTCTGCCGGGAGGAAAACGCGGGCGCCAGCCACCAGCAACCATGGCGGCAGGTCAGCACCATCCTCGCTACCGGTAAAAGCTACATAGTCCTCTGCTGATTCTTCTGTTTGAACCTCAGCGTGGACGACTGCAGATACAACACACAAATGTATGTATATATATATATATATATATATAACTGTAGATCTGGTGCGCCCTCGCCTGATGCGGACGATTGGATCGAAAATTATGGACTTGTTAATATACTTTGATGTCATATGCAGAATCCGCACAAAAACGAATTTGAATTTTGAATTTCAAAATATTGTGTTTTATACTGAAATTTCTCTGGAAAATGTGTGACTGAGGTAATCCTGTGTTATAAGCGATTTCACGTTATATCGAGTCGGGTTTGTCGGGTTTACAATAGGCCTATATGATTATATATATATGGATAAAAGTATTGATGAATGGATGAGTGGATGTTGGATTCGTAGGTAGATGGGTGAATTAGTAGGCGAAAGTTAGATTGTTGGAAATTTGATTTAATAATACGCCTGCTTTATAAAAAAGCATCTATTAAATGAGAAGGATCTCTCTTGAAAGAATGATTATCTATATATTTAATTAATAAAGCCTTAATATATATATGTGTATATGTATATATATATATAGTACTACAAACTGGGATACACGTACCTATATTCTCAGATATGAGCAGCGAGCGTTCACCAGGTCTCAGCCAATTAGCCACGTATCCAGCGTACCTTCCTACGGAAGTCATGAGTCTTGACACGCCATGTCCGCCACTAAACTACATTGTAGGAAAATCGCACGATGAAATGTTACTTAGTTTAGCCGGATGGGCGTTTACTCGGTAATAGCGTGAATATAATTATGGTCGAAAATGTCAAGTGTACAACATGCTACGTACTAATATTGAGATTAAAAATATATAGTTCTTAAAATATTATAATTTAATTGCAAGCATTTTGAAGACTGTCTTTCTCGTGGCTGTGGTTCAATAAAGCTCTTAAAATTTAGTTACTCGTTCTGTTTGTGATTTATTGACTGGCTAACGGTCGCATTTACTCTATTTGCGATAACTATGTAAGTATTCTGATCTATTCCTGTTCCTACATTACCTCTGCTAAATTCTGCCACATGTCCTTGAACAGCAATAGATTACTGCTCACATTAAGGAAATCCTATAAAAAAATATACGTACTATATTATTTGTTTTCAAGCAAACTCAAGAGTTGTATCCAAAATAATTATTATGATAATGCTAATTGCAGTTATATTAATAATATAAAGCCAAGTTGAATTCTTAAACTTTGTAGACCTTAAATTCGTAAAGAATCATCTCAAAACTTTAAATAAAGAATTGAAACTGATTAACTCGAAGCTACAAATAATTAACACAAAAATACAAACTATTGAAATATGTTTGTATAAATACTAATGAAAAAATTCATCGAAATATCCCCCGTGTGTACGAAAACCTCGTCCTATAGATCAGCCATTGGTGTTTAAAGATATAGTAGTCGCGATTTCTAGGACCGCCGAGATCAACGGTTGCTGGCTACTCGTCTAGGGTCACCCATAGGCTAGTTCTGAAATGAGCCATCTGGGGGGGGGGATACGCCAGCGAGGAGGTATGGGAAAGCCCTGTAAGGTTCCTGAACGAACGGGGAATGGGGTCGGCCGTGCATTCAAGTGTTTCAGCAGGAAGTTTCTGGTTTCTATAGGCCACTGAATTTGGGAAACTGCAGGTAAAATAATCATAAATGGCTGTTTCGCGTTTTTCACTCGCGTTCTGGTATTTATTCTTGGACATGGGTACGTGGCCGTGATGCTGTCCTCCGTCAGCGTGACTGCTACTACGTACCTGCTCCGCCTTCAGTTTGTTCACCATCCAGTAATCTAACAATCCGTCTGAAACGTCGCTCAGCACGGCGACGTCACCTGACGTCGCTGCTGACGCAGAGAACACGTTGAGACTGGTCAACAGCATGTTGACGGCGACGCTGGCTGTGTCACCGGTTGCGTCACTGAACTCCTTTGTGATTAGATAGTTTGTAGCTTGCGTCAGCTGGAGTATTTCCGGTGAGAAGCAGCTCGTCTGGTCGACGGGAGACCAGCGCGCTGTACCGGAAGCTGTAGCTTCGCAAATTCTGCGCGCGGTGCCTGCGGGAATAAAAGGGAAATCCGGTACAAAAGAGAAGAGAAGAAAAGAGACGAGAAGAGAAGAGAAGAGAAGGAGAAGAGAAGAGAAGGGAAGAGAAGAGAAGAGAAGAGAAGAGAAGAGAAGAGAAGCGAAGAGAGGAGTGGGAGAAAACACATTTCTTTCAAACGAAATGTTGCGTGAACAAACAACTGGTATAATATCGCGGCAGACGAGATGGGATCGATAATAGCGTATACGTTCAAATCGTAAATTATAAGCCTGTTTAGGCGCGTTACCAATAGTGCCACCTGTGCATGGCTGGATGTCGACGTCGCCTGATGCCTGCGTCATCCACTTGGTGCCATGCTCGTCTGTCTCGGAACTACACCACTGCGTCGTATCTGAAATGTACGCCGAATGGTTCAGCAGAGCTCCATAAATGCTGTACTATATATTTGTATATACATATATATCTGTATTTGTTGCATATATGTACGTGTGTGTGTGTATGTGTGTGTGTGTGTGTGTGTGTGTGTGTGTGTGTGTGTGTGTGTGTGTGTGTGTGTGTGTGTGTGTGTGTGTGTGTGTGTGTGTGTGTGTGTGTGTGTGTGTGTGTGTGTGT